GGGGACAATTGGGCCGTCGATCTACAGAAATCTAACTAAATACTAACAAAACTTAATTTTTAAACTAAACAGAAATGCCCTGGAATTAACAGAACACGATAGAACAATTATATTTATTTGTAACACTAGCATTGTTACTGGTGTTCAAGAAATCGTTTCGGAAATTGTTGAATCTGAAGTTGCCGGTAAAGCAACATCAAATACTCTAATACAACAATTAATTGCTACATCTAAGCAAACAATTCCAGTTTTTAAAGATGATAAAAATGATGATGAAGGAGAGCAAGAAAAATCGACATCAAGTAATTCGCTTCGTCTTTCATCAACTACAACTGTTAAGAATGAAGTTCATCTGTTAAGGATGTTGCATGATAATATAAATCTTTTATAACTGAAAATATTTTTTCAATTGTAGGACCGAGTAATGTAATGATCGTGATGATGTGAAAAAGGATTTTTTAAAGGAATGGAAATTGAATTTTAAGAGTTGCGTAGATAATGTATATCTCAGGTAAGTCGTATGCTTTATATCACAAAAAAAACACTCTAAATAAAACAGATAGAATATATTTGTTTGCTTGCTTAATGTAACGTAATAGATATTAGTCACGTACAAGTCAAATTTAATTGAATACTTTGCTTATCGTAAATTCATTCGGAATGGTAAAAAATTAGAAATTGTAGCATATACTGTAATGTATTAGTTTAGATTTTTTCTTATGTAAAATTTTTTACTTTATTGAATAAATTTTTTTTGAGACGTAGCCAAGTATATGTCAAATAATTCTTGACAATATTTGCATACTATATTTGACTCTTTTCATGCAATTATACATTTCAACAATTTTAAGAATTGAAAATTATCTTAAGTTCTAACAAAATGATGAGTTATAATAATTAATTAAAATAATTATTCATAACTTTATTATTTTTATTAAAGAAAGTTGGTAAATATTACGTCCTAATTAATTGTTGCGAATTTTTTTTGCAATGTTCACATGAATATAGTTTTATTTCCGAACTATACTGAAAAAATTAACATTGATCTTAGAAAATTAGTTCAAAAAATTTTTTTGATCATATGTGATCTCTTTTAATTAATACTTTAAATTCTTAATTTTTTGTACAATTTCTGTTGGTATAATAGCAAACCGAAGTAGGTGTACAAATTATTCGATAAAACAGAGTTGATAAACAAGAAAAAAATTTAAAACATTAAATGAATAAATAAATAATAGAGCCAGAACAGATGTCTACATTAAAAGAATAAATATTCCTTGTTTCCCTAATATACATAGAAATTTTTATAAATAATTTAAATTATTTTTTTATAGGGAGGAAATGTTAATTTTAAAAATAAAAATATATTTTTTTTCAGTTGAAAATTTATCAATAGATTGACTTAGACTCTTTATATAAGTACTACTTTTATGTTCAACAATATTTCCAGACAAATTATGTTCCTCATTAGGATATTGTTCATTCCTTTTTTTATTTTTATTCCATCTATAAAATAAAAATCCACATGTTATAATTATAAACGAGCCTACAGTTCCTCCAATTGATGCGATTATAATTTTCATAGTAACCATCTCATTATTAGCAACAATTATGGAACTAA